TCTTCATCTGTGAAACAGGGTTAGTGATTTCAAAACCTGACTATTACATCAGAACCACCTACAAAGTGTTAAAATATACACATTCCTGGGCCTCAGCTCCAGGCATGGGTGAGAATGGCTCTGGGGTGGAGTCTGGGAATCATGTGGCCAGTCCAAGAGCATATGGGTAGTAACTAGATCAGGGGTGTCATCTTTTGGCTTCCCTGTGCCACATTGGAAGAATTGTCTTGGGCCACACATAAAATATACTAACACTAATGATGGCTGATGGGCTAAAAAAAAAATCTCATGATGTTGTAAGAAAGTTTACAAATTTGTGTTGGGCTGCATTCAAAGCCGTCCTGAGCCACATGCAGGCTGTGGGTTAGACAAGCTTGAATTAGATGATCTGATCTGTTTTTAGTGCAAGGATTTTATTATAGTGAGATTGTAGTGCTGGCTATTTTTAAGTAGCTCTTGGGCAAACCTCTAATCCTCTGTCTTAAAAAACTGAAAGCCTGGAGGGTGCGGTGGCTGACACTTGTAATCCCAGCACTTTGGGAGGCCGAGGCAAGTTGATCACCTGAGGTCGGGCGTTCAAGACCAGCCTGACCAACATGGAGAAACCCCATCTCTACTAAAAATACAAAATTGGCCTGGCGTGGTGGCGCATGCTTATAATCCCAGCTTACTTGGGAGGCTGAGGCAGGAGAATCACTTGAACCCAGGAGGTAGAGGTTGCAGTGAACTGAGATTGGGTCATTGCACTCCAGCCTGGGCAACAAGAGTGAAACTGTTTCAAGAAAAACAACAAAACAAAACTGAAAGTCACATGCTTGCTCTGCAGAGTTCGCGTGAGGGAAGTGAACAATTTGATAAAAAAATAGTTTGCATGTGCTGTGGCTGTTAGTGCCATGGGCCAGCAGGTTGAGGGGAGCTGAGTCCATGATGATGTCAAGTTATCCCTGTCTGAAGGCAAAGAAAGGCCTTTCAGTGTGGACTTTGAATATCTGAATCTCAGTTTCCCAAGTTTGCCTTACAGAAATTTTAAGCTGCTTGAGAGTTACTCTGCGTGTATCTTCTTAAGTAGTTTTTTTTCTTAATTTCTCTTCTTCCCAGGTGCAGTGAGCGTCAGTTTCCGAGACCGGAAAAGGATCCTCTAGTAGCCACATTGTGGCAGCTGCCCTGAACCGGGACCTGGACCCGGACCCAAATTGCCATGTCTTTAATGCATGTAAGTAGACGAACTGGTAAACAGGCTTGGTTTGGGGGAGTGGTAATCTTTTTTGCTTCCCCTGCTCTGGACTTAAAGCAATGGATGCCAAGGGGCAGGGAGACTTTGGTGGCGTTTTGTTGCTAGGTATCCGCAATAAGAGACAAAACTGAACTGCTTTGCTGGAAACAAGTGAAATGATTGCTTTCCTGTTTGTAAGCTTTGTTTTTACATCTTTCATATCCCTAAGAAGTCCCACAAGCCTATGATGGTTAGTTATCCCTGTCTGAAAATCTGGACTGAGGGAAATCATCTATTCTGAGGCTTAAGGGTTTGGCTCCATGTTTTTTTCCCCCCTTTTTTCCCCTCAGCATATCCTGCTGAGAGCCCAGTCTAGAGCATCATTCCTCTAAAACGTGAAAAGCAAGTGTGTGGTTGCCCTGCTTTCTCTAGTCCCTTGATTATGGCTCTGAGGGTACAGGCTGTATGAGGTGGCGGAAATGCACAAGCAGCCAGGATTTGATTTATGCCCTTATTGTGGAATGAAAGTGTTTGTTACTTATTTCAAGAAAATGAATGTGCTCTTAGAAACAGAGTGGAATGTAGGATGTATGCCAGCTTGTGGCAGTGAGCATGCTTGACGACTCTGACCTTGCCTCTGCTCCAGGGTCCTGACATTTAGGGGAAACCACTGCTGTTTGGTTTCTATGTGCTTTGTTAAGGACGCCAGGGAGGTCTCCTGAGTTTGTAGCTTAGATCCTGTCTGAATGTCAGGACTGGTGTGTGAGCAAGAAAGAAGCCAAGTGGTGCTGGAGGGTGGGGTGCCCGGCTTTGTTCCCATTTGAATGCCAGGCTTGAAGTGCACACAGATTGCCTTTCTTTTCTGTTGAAATGGGAGGTGTGTGCAAACTCTTTGTATTTAAGGTTGTGTTTTTGCTGGACACCAAAGAAGCTGTATTCTGGGTTAGATTTAATGAGCCTAAAAACTGGCCCCAGTAGTTTACAGCCTGCAAGTAAAACAGTGAAAAGGGCAGCTTATCAAGTGGTTATTGTCTGCTGAGTGGACTTGGCTACAGAACTCAAATAAACCATAAGATTTGACTTGAAATGTTTATATCCAGAGTTGTTTACTGGCCTCTTACCAGCAACTGCTCCCTCAGAGGTACTGTCTCCTTAAAATGAGTCATCCTGGATCCCCACCAGCCTGCACCAAAATGATGTGATAGTGCCCCGTTATGCTCCCCCAACGCACACATGCCTGCTGGTGGTGAGAATGAGTGCTCTTACACTGACTGCCTTTTTCTCCCAAATTAGTTGTTACATAGCATTCAGTTTTGAGTCACTTCCTTGGCTGTTACTTCAAATTATTCTCCTGTTTTATAGGTTAGCTACTAGCCATGCCAGATGGGATCAGCACAGCCCTGCCTCTGCTGCTAATTGTTCCTCTAAAGTAATCGCCATGCCTTCTTCGGGCTTCATCTTTAAAGGAATGAAGTGACTGAGATTATTCTGGAAAAGCTTTTGGCAGTTAGTGAAATTAGAGTACAACTAAGAACATTTTCAGACCTCCACTGTGGATGACCTGGGTATAATCTCACAATTTGATGGGACTGCAAGGATTGTAAACTGAAATGAACGTGATTATACTGTGTTGGAAGAGCCTAAGAGGAAACCGATGCCGTGAGTTTCAGAGAGTAACGCTTAACCCCAGTTACACAGGATACCATCTTGTGTTTTCTCTTTTTCAGTTACCCACTACATTGATTTTGTGATCTGCTAATGGGTTGCCACCCACAAACATTGCTTTAGCACTTTTACTTCAAATCAATGAAGGACTGAGAAAAGTTCTCCTGGTGTCTCCACAGAGTGGCTTCCAGGAACAGGTCTTTGCATAGAATATCAGTGGTTTCCTTTTTTGTTTCAAATAATGGTCAGAAGATATCCAGTGTTGACTCACCAAGGCTATCAGGTTCCTTTTTCCTTTTTTTTTTTTTTTTTTTTTTTTTTTACATTTTATATTTTTGCTCTTTTTTATTTTAGTTTATTTATTTTTTGAAACGGAGTTCCACTCTGTCACCAGGCTGGAGTGCAGTGGTGTAATCTCAGCTCACTGCAGCCTCCGCCTCTCAGGTTCAAGCAATTCTCTTGGCTCAGCCTCCTGAGTGCTGAGACTACAGGCGCGTACCTTCTTTAGTAGAGATGGGATTTCACCATGTTGGCCAGGATGGTCTCTATCTCCTGACCTCGTGATCTGCCTGCCTCAGCCTCCCAAAGTGCTGAGATTACAGGCATGAGCCACCACGCCCAACCTTTTTTTTTTTTTTTTAATTTAAATTTAAATTTTTTTCATTTTTTTGAGACAAATTTTTTTTGTTTGTTTTTTGTTTTTGAGACAGTCTTGCTCTGTCGCCCAGGCTGAGAGTGCAGTGGCATGATCTCTGCAACCTCTACCTCCCAGGTTCAAGCAATTCTTGTGCCTCAGCCTCCAGAGTAACTGAGACTACAGGTGCATGCCACCACACCTGGCTAATTTTTTATGTTTTAGTAGAGACAGGGTTTCAACCATGTTGCCCAGGTTGGTCTCGAACTTCTGAGCTCAGGCAATCCACCCGCCTTGGCCTCCCCAGGTGCTAGGATTATAGGTGTGAGCCACCACACCCAGCTATTTTTTCTTTTGTTTTTTAATTTTAAAGTTGGGGGTCTCAGTTTGTTACCCTGGCTGGTCTCGAACTCCTGGACTCAAGCGATCCTCTGGCTCCAAGCCCACTACCAGTCTCAGGTTTTTTGCTAAAAGATCACTACCTTTTTTTCCTCTTATCTGCTGCCATGTGAGACGTGGCTTTCACCTTCCGCCGTGATCGTGAGGCCTTCCCAGCCACGAGGAACCATAAGTCCAATAAATTTAAAAAAAAAAATCACTATATAAGATACTAGGATGGATTGTGACCGTTGAGGGGTGCTTACATATCCCACATTTGACTACATTCTTTCCAAACTAAGTATTCTATCCAAAGGAACATACTGCTATCATGGAGACCAAAGAGGCACTGTTTAAGGTTGCCAAGGTGAAGCGAGCTGAGAGGCTCTGTTCTGGTGCCAGCAACTCTGAAATCTTAATTCCTGCTGTCCAGGCAGCAGAATGCCATGGTTTCCCCAAGTAGGTAGCTGCTTTAGCAATTAAAGCCCAAACGTCTGTTCTGTTCATCAGAGGTCTCTGAATTTCTGAAGGGGTATTTCGTTTCTGGTGACTGAGTTAATCCCCATCCCTCTTGTAAAGTGTGCTAATAGAATCAGCCTTTCAAAGCTACAGAACCAGACCGTGCCCTAAATTGACCAACATGATTGATGTGCCTCGGGAAGTCTCTTGCCAGCTGTCCCTGTGAAGACCTTCCCCCCGCTGCTGCCTTGCACACTGAAGCATCTCAGACTGTGCAGAGCCATTTACTCATCAAGACAGTAAATCCCAGGGCTGGGTTAAGTGCTGTGTGATAACTTGGATGAGACTTCTTTAAAGCCACTTAAAATAAAATTAGGAAACTACCATCAGCTAAGTTCAAATTTACCGAAGCCAAGATACAAGGATGAGGGTTTATTACCTGGTAACATCATCCTGTTGGTGACAAGGTGGGGATACGTCTCTAATGGGACTTCCCTCAGTGGCAGGCAGGCTGCCAAGCAACTAACCCCCATCGAGTGCCAGACCCTCCCAGTGTTCTGAGAGTGATCTCCGTGCTGAACACCCTGCATTTTATATGATTTCTCGACCCAGCCAAAAAAAAGAAAATGGTCCATCACGTACACAGTTATCTAGTCTTAAGTTACATTCTTTTTTCTCCCACTTTATTATGGAGCAGAAGTAAGCCTATCATGTTCTTAGAAAGGCTCTTAAGAGGTGTCCTGGAGTCCTTGAATCACTTTAGCCTCTGGGGTAGGATGCGCCACCAGGAGGATTTGGGCTGGAGCTTGTGTGTTTGCCTTTCACCTGTACTGCTGTTTGATCTTGGTGAACACTCCACCGACATTTCCTAAAGTTGCTCAGTGCAAATCCAGCAAAGCAGTCCATTTTCCCTTGGCCAAGATTGAGATGTGTTGTTTTAGATGCATAGAGGAGTTTTCTTGGATGAGCCAAGGACAAGCTGGGGTGTCCTGGATTGAACAGACCTCGATGATAGTCGTGAATTCACCCCAGTGCCCTCTGTTGGAAAGAAAGGAAGGTGAAGATTGAAAAGTTAAGAAAAAAGCTTTTGGCCACTTGAGAGGATCAGGGCCGCAAGTCTTGAAGAAGCAAAGGGTTCAGTGCCTTGGGATCAGCGCTGGTACAGCCGAAGGATGCCAGCGTTGTGTAGGTCTCTCCACAGGGCAGCTTCCAGGGACAGATCGTGGTTTGCATAGAATATCAATGGCTTCATTTTTCTTTCGAAATAGTGGTCGGAAAATTTCCAGTAGTTGCTTGTGATGAATCCATAGGCACTGACCTGGGCGAGGATAGTCATTGGATTAGTATTTGTTGAGCATCTAGTGTGAAGTGACATAAGATTAAAAAGGTGTCCCCCTGCTGAGGTGAGGATAATGGTCTAGGGCTTATTCCCACTTAGCAAGTGGCGAGATGGATTCAGGGGTGACTCACTGTGTCCCCACGTCGCATAGCTGGTGATTGCCAGAGCTGGGTTTGGAACTGGAGGGTGGATGCAAAAGCCCATTACTACTCTCTCCCCATCCTAATTGGGGACTGCAGTCAAGACACTCCTGCATTAAAATAGGAAAAGGCCCGGTATGGTGGCTCATGCCTGTAATCCCAATGCTGGGAAGCTGAGGTGGGAGGATCACTTGAGCTTGGAAGTTTGAGACCAGCCTGGGGAACATGGTGAGACCCCGTCTCTACAAAAAGTTAAAAAAAAAAAAAAAAAAAATGAGCCGGACGTGGCGGTACCTGCCTGTGATCCCAGCTACTTGGGGATCATCACACCACTGCACTTAAGCCTGAGCAACAGAATTGAGACCCTGTCTCAAAGAAAAAAGAGGGAAAAGATACAGGCCTGAGACATGGAGTGGCGTTTGGCCTCCAGCTCTCCGTAGCAGCTTAACATGGGCCATGGCCTCTCCTTGAAAGCTGCTGCTTGGCCCCTGCCTCCACGAGGTTCACATGGGCCACATCCCATCAGGAATGACTCTTAGGTGCTTTCCAAGTGTTTGTGTGTGGGAGGCTAAACCTACTGCCCCACCCCCGCTCTGGGATGTCCCCATAAAAGAATGTCCTTATTCAGCCCAGTGTGTTGAGGAGATTGGCTTTCACAAGGGCAGTTTGGTGATTTGAGCCTTAAATACCATATTGAGTGGCTGCCTTGGAGAAGAGCGAAAGAAGGAAGCCTGGGGAAGATGTCAGGAGCCAAGGCAAGGCTGGTCCAGGACCTGCCTGCCCTTCAAAGGGCCCTGGGTGGTGGGCAAGGAAGTGGGCAGCACCGGCAGCACTATTGGAGCTGGGGATTCCGTGAACAGAGGCCAAGAGTCCCAGGTCCGAGGGTAAGGGGTATCAGGGGATCCTGCAGGGTTCTGTTCTATGTTCTGCCGGCATGGGCTTCTGGAAGAGAAGGCCTCTTACCTGGTCACAAGTATGCAAAGCTGTCAGCAGCATGAGAGCCCCGGTACTAGGCATATATAGGTCTCCAAAATTGGTGTTAATCAACTTTGATTTCAAGAACCTGGAAGCAAAAAGACGTTTCAGCTCACTAGCTTGATGGTTGTATCATCACACTTCACACCTACACATTCAGATAGGTGGGAAAACTTCAAAAACTCAGGGCCTTTTACTCCTATCAGTTCTTTATTTGGTCCAAGTGGACTAAATGCAAAGATCTTTGAGACCTTAGGTAAGGTGGGGGGTGAGAAAGAGGAACCACAGGTGAAATCCTTCCCCCTTTCGGCAACAGCCTGTTTTCACCCCAAGCTACTAAGTAACCACACTGCCAAGGGCATAGGTGGCCTGTTAATTTAGCCTGAGACTGCGGTTTCTCTCTACCCCACATATTGATTAAGTAGAAATCCCGTGTGAGGGACAGGGAGCTCAGACCCTGTGACTGGACCCACACAGTCCAAGAGTGAGGCCGGGGTGTGACCACCGGCTCTGCCCTCAGGCCTGAGTTGACATCAAGCTGTGCCAGGCCGATCACCTGACTTCTCTGAGCCTGTCTTCCTCTGTAGCATGGGACTAGTTGGAGGGGCTTCATTTACCTCCCTAGATTCACTCACCCCTCTCCAACAGCTCCCTGCCCTGGGATTCGAGCCTCTGGTCCACAGCAGGGTTTCTCAGTCTCAGTGCTGTTGATGTTTGGGGCCAGGTGCTTCTTTGTTGCTAAACGGGGACGTTCAGCAGCATCCCTGGCCTCTACCCACTGATGGCACTTGCCCCCACCACCCTTTCAACAACCCTGGACGAGGGCCATATGCACATCCATATTGAGAACTCCTGGCAGGAGGGAGGGAAGGGAGGGGAGGGGTGGAGGCTGTTGCCTGGGTCCCTCCCCGCACCTTGTGTCGATGTGTTTGGGCCTGAAGATTCTGATGGCCTGCTGCTGACAGCCCCAGTGCTGCTGTGCACGTTATGGCCCCCAATTCCCAGTCTGCCTTTGTGAACAGTTCCTAGTAAATACACCTTGAGTTATCCTGAGCTTCCTGTCCATTTCCTGGGGACTGACATATATCACACTCCCTCTATCAAGGTGCTAAATAAAACAGTAAATGAAGTGACAGTGCTTCGCACACAGCACTCGGGACATTGGAGCTCTGGTTATTGGTCAGTGCGTGGGGCTCGTGGGAGGGCTCTGCCTGGATGTAGGGTGGGTATGTAAAAGCGGGAAGGAAAGGGACGCTGTTCTTCAGGCACCCCACTACGTACCTTTTTGTCAGGTAGCTGATGAGGTCCGGATGTAGCAGCTTGAATTTACTGGCAGAAGCTTCTGGTCCAAAATAAGTGTGCGGCCTAGGACCCATGATAGAAGTGCACAGAGCGCCCAGAGCCGTCGTATTGCAAGGGGGAGATGGAGGGGAGGGTCAGGGTGCCAGAGTAGCCGCGGTACCCTGAGCGGTAGGAGCGGGGCTGGGAGTAGTAGCGGGAGAAGGGGGTGTAGAAGGTGGCAGGCAGCACGGTGGGGACCACATGTGGCTTCCCGCTCACCAGGACCTCCACGGGTGGGGTGTAGGAGAGAGAGGAGGGGGGCATGAACAGACCGGGGGGAGTTGGGAAGGGACAGTGAAACTGGGGGTGGTGGGGGGGCGGGGGAAGGAGAGGTAAGTAGAGCGAGTCAGGAGGGGGTGGGGGCTTCCGGGCAGGGCAGGGAGAGGGACAGGCAAAGCATGGGTTTTGGGGAAGTGGTGCTGTGGGGGGCTGGAAAAAGGGGGGCTCCTTCAGAAAGCGGGGCACATAGGGGGTGATATAGGATGGGATGTTCTGAATTGGTCCGATATAGGAAGATGAGGGGGCAGGGCTGTAGAAGGACTTGGGGGGCACAGTGGGGGTTAGGGAAGGGTTTCGAGAGAGGGATTTGAAACCAGACTGGGAGGGAGATTTGGAGGTGGGTGGGGTGGGGGATTGGGCGGCCCCGCGGGGCACGTGTTGGACCTGAGGACTGGGGTTCAGGGAGGAAGTCCGGGAAGAGGGCTGTGAGGCACTTGGGGTGGGAGGGTGGGAGGGGGGCCGGGAGGAAGAGCCCCGAGTGGGGGAAGGGGCTGAGCTCTCGTGAGGCTGCTGGCCTGGAGGGGTGACAATGCTATTGGAACGGGACTGGGAGGGAGACTGGGTAGGGGACGGATTAGGGGTGTGGGAAGGGGAGCTCATTGGTGTTGGGGAGGCTTAGGTCCACCCGATGTCTCTGAGGCAGCCCCAAGAGCCCAAGCCCAGCGTGTCACAAAGCCCAGCTCAGACCAGCAGTGGAAGCAATTGTTGGGTAATCACCAGGGCGGGGGGCGGGGTGGGCCTGGCTTTAGAGCCCTTAACCCGTAAGGACCACCTGTAAAGCCGCTCTGTGGGGGTGGGCGAGATGTCCTCAGGGAGACCCCAGAGATAGGGCTGGTTGTCTGGGCCACAGCAGTGGTGTTGATTTTTAGGGACCTGATCTCAGGGACAAGAAATTATCTCAGAACCCCCGGGAGGAGGTTCAGATGAGGGTCAGGTGGTGGCTCAAGAGAGCTGGACCCAGGCCTGCTGTGCAGGAAGGTGGGAAAGAAGACAAAGGGCCCATTGTTTCTGCCTCTCAGGATGCTGGGCCTTGAGTCTGCTCTCCCGTGTCACAGGCATGACCCTGGGACGGATGCCCACCAGGAGGAGGGGCACAGACTGGCCCCGACTGGCTTCCAGCACAGTGTGCTCAGTGGGACGGCAGACCCTGCCCAGTTTGTGACCTGGAGCTGCCAGGGGCAGCCGGGCTGGGCAGGGAGAGCACAGCCTGAAGCCGAGGAGCCAGACCTGCTCGTCCCATTCAGAAAAGCTGCCTCTCCCGCCCCGAGCCCACCACCCCAGAGGGCTACTGGGAACCCGGAGGGTCACCTGGGCTTTCCGGGGGTGGACAGAAAGTAGAATTTCCCAGTGCCAAGTTACGTGAATAATTGGGGATGATTGAATTCTTAGGGATTTTCTTGCTGCCCTTCACCCACCTCCTCTTACCCCATGATGGGCCCTGGGAGCAAAAGGGAGACAACCATAGCGCCCCTGCCCCTCCACCACGCCCCACACCACCATGGCCTGGCTGCTCACCTGTCCCCTTTATCTAGGCCCTCAGGGACAGGCACGCCCAGAATGGCTGATCTCAGCATCACATAGTCGCGGATGCCTGAGGGGATGAAGATATACTGCAGGTCCTGTCAGAATAGAGACAATGAGCCCAGAGGGGAACCAGGCCATGCTTAGCTCCTCCGTGTGGACAGCCCTCCACCCAACCTTGCCTGCTGAGCCGACCGGAGAATTTCCCTTAAATAACTTTCATTCCCACCCAGAGGTACGGTACTGGTTTCAATGTAGGCCTGCAAATCCTCTAATGCTCCTTCAGGAGGTGGCACCCAATTGCCTTCCCCTAGAGTATGGGCTGGACTTAGGGACGCATACACAGGCCTTTTCTGATAAAAAGGAAAGTGATGGTGCGTGGCTTAGAGACTAGGTCATAAAAGGTGCTGTGGCTTCCTTTACGTTCTCAGATCACTCACTCTGGATGAAGTTAGCTGCCATGTCGTGAGGACACTCAGCCTACAGGGGGCCCCAAGTGGCAAGGGCCTGTGGGACGCCGCCTTGATGTCAGCCCCAGTCAAGCTTTTGGGTCTCTCAGACGATGCAGCCCATCATCTCCGTCACCTGAGCCAAAACCTTTCACTAAGCTCCCCCCAAATTCCTGACCCATTGAAACCACAAGATGTTTGTTGTTTAAAGTCACCAAGTTTTGAGGTCATCTGTTACACAGTAATAGATAACTCATACGTGTACTGTGGCTACACCAAAACTGAGGCCGGGCACGGTGGCTCACGCCTATGATCCCAACAATTTGGGGAGGCCGAGGTGGACAGATCATGTGAGGTCAGGAGTTCAAGACCAGCCTGGCCAACATGGTGAAACCCCGTCTCCACTAAAAATATAAAAATTAGCCAGGCATGGTGGTGCGTGCCTGTAATCTCAGCTTGTTGAGAGGCTGAGGCAGGAGAATCACTTGAACCCAGGAGCCAGAGGTTGCAGTGAGCTGAGATCATACCATTGCACTCCAGCCTGGGTGACAGAGGGAGACTCCGTCTCAAAGCAAAAACAAAAACAAAAAGTCTAAAGCTGCTCCATTTTGTTCCACTTCACAGAAGAGAGGTTCTAGTGTGAGGACTCAGTATGGCGTAGACACTATGGTAGGACAGTCCTTAAGCCCCTGGTCAGGGGAAGAAGCTTCTAGAAACCCAGCTCAGCTTCCTTCAGCACTGCAGATTCCCTTTTCCTAGGATCCCCCTAACCCTGCATGTGGCACCCACAGCACCTGAGGAGGGAAGCTTTGAGTTACGGCCCCTGGGTGTGGGTGGAGGAACCTGGAGGCCGGCAGGTAGGGCCAGATGCTGGCTCCCAACGCACTGGCTGCCACCTGGTGCATGTCCCTCAGTGTCTCTGACCCTCAGTTTCCTATACAGGGCTATTGTGAGATTTCGAGAGGCCACACCACATTCTTCCAGGGGCCAATGTGGGGAAATGGAAACAACGCCAGGGCTCGGGTCAGAGGGGCCTAGATCTAGATGGTTCCAGCTGGGTGACCTTGGACACGTTCCTGAACCTCTCGGCGTCTCTGCTTTGTCATCTGGAAATGGGGACAAGGGTCCCACTGAGGGCTGCTGCGGTGACCGTGTGTGTGCCCTGTAACATGCTAGGAACAGAGGAGGAACTCCATAAATCCCCTTCCCCTGGGAATCGCTAGGACAGGCTGAGCTCCCCAAAGAATGCCAACTCTCAAGGTGGGGGGTACTCTGGGTTCAAATCCTGACCCTACCGCTGACTCACTGAATGAAAGGTGCCAGGCTTTTATTCCCTCACCAGTGAAACCATGGGTTGCACGGTCTCTGTAAAGTGCCTGGCAAGTCGTAAGCATTCGGTAAATGCTAGCCATTCATGTCCCATGCTGCAGAGGAGTCCTGTGCCGCCTGAATCCGCAGGGAGTCCGGGACCAGATCCCCCCTCATCTTCAGTGGCCATCTTGTGTATCCAGAGTCCTAGCACACCCTCTGCACCCACTGGACCAGGGTGTGTGAGCCCCGTGGCCCCCCACTGAGGGGACTCCAGGAACAATGATGCCATTGTTAACTATAATGGCATGCCTGCCAGAGGCCTCACCTGTCCTTGTGGCACGGAGGTGAAGCCCAGGTTCCAGTAGGAGACAAGGGAATTCTTCATCGTGTTCACAGTGAAACCATAGAAGGAAGTCTTGGTGCCCACATCGCGCTCGAAGCCTTTGATCACAGCTCCATTGAGTCTGGTGGGCACAGAAGCCTGTCAGTGTCTGTGGTTACACCAGGCCGTCTGTTCTGCTTCCATCTCCACGGCTCTGCCTGGCCTGTCCCCCCAGCCTCTACGACCACTCCTGCCCACGGCAGTACCAGTGCCCACTTGTCAGCCAGAATCCCACTCCTCCAGACCTCAAGGGGTGATGCCCTGTGAGTAGGTAGAGGTGGCCCTGGCGGCTGCTTCCTCCCGGGTCCCCTGCACGGGCACCCATGCTCTGTCCTCAGGGCCTACTGTTTGTGTTTGCCTTGTCCATGTCCATGTGCCCGTCACAACTGCTGAGCTGCCCAGGTCACTGCTGCCATAGCCCACTGCCCCTGGGGGAGACCCCCCCACCCTCCGGGCAACTCTCCCTCCCGCCCCTCCCCAGCCCGTGCCCCTCATACCTGAACACATAGTCATGGGCATCGATGTTGGGACCCTGGCGGGACCCATTCAGAATGCCTCCGTTGCCCACCACAGCACACCGGATACACTTTGGAGGGGAGTCCCTGGGCGGAGCGAACAGCTTGGCGTTCTCTGAGCTGTTCAGAAGGCTCAGGGTGGAGGCGATGGCTGTGGGTGCAGATGGGGAGCAGCCATAAGAAGGGCTGGCATCGGGGCACCTGGGGCCTTCCCTAGGCTGGTTCTGGTGCCCCATGTCCCCTGAGGCCTGACCCCAGCTCCTCCCAAGAAGCACAGAGGGCGGGAGGGGAAGGAGATGTCTGGGCGGGGGAGAACAGAAAAGCTGACAGTGGAAGAGGGGGCTTGGTGGCCTTCACTTGTCTTAACCCGAATAACTTACCCTCTTAAGACTATTCCTAGAGAAGTGGGCTCAGAGCTTTAAAAAGACTGGGCCGGGCATGGTGGCTGATGCCTGTAATCCCAGAACTTTGGGAGGGTGAGGCGGGCAGATCACTTGAGGCCAGGAGTTCGAGACCAGCCTGGGCAACATGGTGAAACCCTGACTCTACTAAAAATACAAAAATTAGCCAGGTGTGGTGGGCATGCCTGTAATCCCAGCTACTTGGGAGGCTGAGACGCAAGGATCACTTGAACCCGGGAGGTGGAGATTGCAATGAGCCAAGATTGTGCCATTGCACTCCAACCTGAATGACAGAGCAAGACTCGTCTCAAAAATAAAAAAGACTGTATATTGCAAAAGAAAAGAATCGGAGGCCAGTGGGGGTTTGGGTGCAAGTGTAATGTAAAGGGGGCTCTGGGCCTGCAGTGTGGGAGTTCCTGCAGCAGCAACCGTGAGTGAGGTGGTTTGAGGCCCCACAGCCTCTTTCCTCGGCCACCATTGGACGCTGCAGCCTTTCTTGCCAGGGAGGCCCCAGGTCGGTGAGGGCTGCTGGCGGGGGCAGCCCCAGGCCTCTCACTGACCCCTGGGTGCTTGGACGGAGGAGGGAGGTGAGGCAGGAGTTGCATAGCTGGGGCTTCTGGGAGGAGAGGGGGACAGAGAGGCCCTGTATCACCAGTGCTATGAGGGTAGGGAGGCCTGGCCTACCTCAGGGCCAAGAGCAGGAAGCTGAGAGAAGGCAGGTGAGAGACAGTGGGCCTGGATTACCTTGGTAAGAGAGCCCCCGCCAGCCATACGGGGCTTTGTGTTGGCTCAGGCGGTCCCAGAGCTCTGGGGTGAAGAGTTCCCCCCACAGCAGCACTGGAACAGAGAAATTGAACAGGCCACGGAAGTGGGGGTGCCGCTGAATGGCCAGGTGAAGCAGGTGTCGGCAGGCCTGGCCCTGTGGGTGAGAAGGTGGGGGCTGAGCCTTGTTAGGTGGGGGCTGGGGTGGGTGGGACTCCCCGCAGACCCTGCAGGGTAGTTGGGAGTTGTGAGGGAAGGCCTGCCCTGTCCCCTCCAGATCAGGGCCATCCTTGCATTTTTGAACTGAGCTGGCTTCTAGGGGGTCTGGGAACTTTCTGGATTTAGCCTGCCTAGCTCTTCTCCCAGAGGCCACGTCCCCTTGGCCTGATGGCTCTGGCCTCATACTCCTTCACCTCACGCTTGAGCGAACTCTGGGGCATTTTCTGATGCGTGGGTCTGACCTGCCTGCCCTTTGGTGGAGGAGTTTCAGCCTGGGCTGGGCTGAGGCCATCACCTGGATGCAAACCCTAACCCTGCTGGTACTTGCTGTGTGATTTGCGAGTGAACAGGCTGCCAGGAAGATCCGTGGTCTTTCTTTCCAGTGGTGCCTTTAGGGCGTAGAAGTGTCCCCCCAAAATTCATTACCCAGAGCCTTGGAATGTGACCTTAGTTGGATCTAGGGTCTTTGGAGATGGAGTTAGTTAAGAGAAGGTCATATAGGGTGAGGTCGGGCCCTAACTAGCCTCCTTATAAGGAGGCCAAGTGATGACGAAGCAGAGATCTGTGCGATGCGCCACAAACCAAAGAGGACGTGGAGCTGCCAGAGCTGGGGAAAGGCAGGAGAGGCTCTCTTCCAGCCTTCAGAGGCAGCGTGGCCCTGCCAGCACCTTGATTCTGGGCTTCTGGGCTCCAGAACTGTGACGATTCAATTTCTGTGGATTGAAGCCCCCCAGGCTGTGATCATTTGTTCCAGCAGCTACAGGGAAGGAACACAGCACCTCTGTACTTGTGGGCCTTGAGGGAGGGTGAGGTCAGGAAACAGGCCCCAGCCTTGTCTGCCCATGATCTCACAAGGTCAGAATCACACACAGTCACGGCCTGGGGCAGGCCTTCTATTACTCCTGAATGGGGCTCTTTGTTAAGCCATTGGTTTGATCAAAGGGCAAAGCAGGAAATAGCTGTACAGTAATTTCTGCTATAATGCAACTTGTGAGTGGCTGAATATCACCATGCTGTGCAAAGCTATGCAACCATGACCATGGGGCAGCCGGGCATGGGGGCTCACCCCTGTAATGCCAGCACTTTGGGAGGTCAAGGCGGGAGGATAACTTGAGGCCAGGAGTTTCCATAACATAACAAGACCCCATGTCTGCAAAAAAATTTTTTTTAATTAGCCAGGCATGGTGGCCCAGGCCTGTGGTCCCAGCTACTTGGGAAGCTGAGGTGGAAGGATTGCTTGAGCCTGGGAGATTGACGCTGCAGTGAGCTATTGAGACTGCACTCCAGCCTGGACAACAGAGTGAGACCCCATCTCAAAAACAAAACAAAACAACAACAATGGCAAAACGAAAAACCATGGACTTATGAGAAAATGGGATGAGTGACATAACACTGAAAAGCTGTCAGGAATGCATAAAACCAAAGATACAAATCAAAGAAAGACAGAAGCACAGTTTTATGGATGTCCCATGGTTAAGGAATACTTGAGATGGATGTGGAAGTGGGAGTGGAAGTGGGTGTCGGAAGGGGGCAGTTTGTGTGATATTGTGAAATGGTGGAAAGAAGGTTGTCTGAAATCGGAGGGAATTGTGCCACCAGGCTCACTAGGGCAGGTGAACTCATAACACACTCAGTGAAGCTGATGGAGATCTCAGGTGCGCATACACAAAAAAATACTTTTTGTGTATTCTTGCGTGGCTTCTGCTGGAGGTTGGGGTGTGGTTTCCTATGTCCGTTAGATTTCTGTCAGCTAGCTAGGTTTTCACTGACAAAATCACTCAAAAGAAAATCCAGGCTGGGCACAGTGGCTTATGCCTATAATCCCAGCACTTTGGGAAGCAGAGGCGGGTGGATCCACCTATGTTCAGGGATTTGAGACCAGCCTGAGCAACGTGGTGAAACCCCATCTGTGCTAAAAATACAAAATTAGCCTGGCGTGGTGGCACATGCTTGTAATTCCAGCTACTTGGGAGGCTGAGGCACGAGAATCACTTGAACCTGGGAGGTGGAGGCTGCAGTGAACCAAGATGGCTACAGTAGCCTGGGCAACAAGAACGAAACTCCATCTCAAGAAAAAAAAAAAAGAAAATGCAAAATTTATGTGATGCTCAGATTGTTTCCTAATATGTCATTTCTTTTTTTTTTTTTTTTTTGAGACAGAGTCTCACTCTGTCACCCAGGCTGGAGTGCAGTGGCGCTATCTTGGCTCACTGCAAGCTCCGCCTCCCGGGTTCACGCCATTCTCCTGCCTCAGCCTCCCGAGTAGCTGGGATTACAGGTGCCTGCCACCACGCCTAGCTAACTTTTTGTATTTTTAGTAGAGGCGGGGTTTCACCGTGTTAGCCAGGATGGTCTCAATCTCCTGACCTTGTGATCTGCCCTCCTCGGCCTCCCAAAGTGCTGGGATTACAGGCGTGAGCCACCGGGTCCGGCCCCTAATATGTCAATCTTGTTGGAACAAACTAACAATTTCTTTTTCTTTTCTTTTTTTTTTTTTTTTTGAGACAGAGTTTCGCTCTTGTTGCCCAGGCTGGAGTACAATGGTGTGATCTCATCTCACTGCAACCTCCATCTCCTGGGTTCAAGCAATTCTCCTGCCTTAGCCTCCCAAGTAGCTGGGATTACAGGTGCCTGCCACCACGCCTGGCTAATTTTTTGTATTTTTAGTAGAGATGAGGTTTCACTATGTTGACCAGACTGGTCTCACACTCCTGATCTCAGGTGATCCACCCACCTCGGCCTCCCAAAGTGCTGGGATTACAGGTGTGAGCCACTGTGCCTGGACCAAATTAACAATTTCAAAGTAAGCATTATAGCAGAACTGACAGCTGGCTTGCGTTTATCCCATGGATGTGGTGTCAAAGTTTCCTCCTTAGCTCTGACCACCAGGAAGCTCAGAGCTAGATATATGACATGTCTCCCACTTTGTGACACATTTTTTCCTGCGCTTATTTTACATTGTCTTATTTTCATTTCTTTACTTCTTCTCCTTCCCTCATTTCCTCATTTTATTGTATTTTATGTTTGTGCCCTTTTTTTTTGTTTTTTAGACAAGAGTGTTGCTCTGTTGCCCAGACTGGAGTGCAGTGGAGCGATCTCGGCTCACTGCAACATCCACCTCCCAGGTTCAAGCAATTCTCCTGCTTCAGCCTCCCTAGTAGCTAGGATTGTAAGTGTCCACCACCATGCCTGGCTAATTTTTATATTTTTAGTAGAGATGGGATTTCACCTTGTTGACCAAGCTGGTCTCAAACACCTGACCTCAGGTGATCCACCCACCTTGGCCTCCCAAAGTGCTGAGATTACAGGCGTGAGCCACCGCACCTAGCCATTTTTGCCTTCTAATATGTGTCCAAAAGCCACCTCAAACCCTTTGTTTTAGACCAGGTGGGGACGTATGTCAATTAGCATCGAACAGCTCAAGGGTCAAGGCAGAAAAGACTTCAGGAAGCTTGAAGATGACCTGGTCCAAGCACTCCTAAGGTGCTGGAGGTCTCTCTTCAACCTGCCAGTCAAGTATCCACTGGCCTCTGTATTTATTTATTTATTTATTTGTTTATTTTGGAGACGGAGTCTCACTCTGTCTCCCAGGGTGGAGTGCAGTGGCACGATCTTGGCTCACTGCAACCTCTACCTCGCGGGTTCAAGCAACTCTCCTGCCTCAGCCTCTCAAGTAGCTAGGATTATAGGTGCCCGCTGCCATGCCTGGCTAATTTTTTGTATTTTAGTAGAGACGGGGTTTCACTGTGTTGCCCAGGCTGGTCTCGAACTCCTGAACTCAGGCAATCCGCCCGCCTCGGCCTCCCAAAATGCTGGGATTACAGGTGTGAGCCACTGCGTCCAGCGGCCTCTGTTCTTAAGACAGGGCCCCCATCACCTGCCCAGGGCTACTTGCTGTGTCTCTGAACAACTTGGCTGTCACTAAGCTCTAGCATGCAGTGAAATCTTTCTCCCTGAGGCCCCAGTCAACATGTCCCAGTTTAGTCTCTTGGGCATGGAAAACACCTCTTAAGCCTGTATTAATCCAGAACAACACAGTCATCATCCTGATTAACGGCAGCACATGGAGCCAGGGTGGGGTGGAGTGGGGTGGGGTGGGGGAGGCTGTATTGCACAATGGTTCTGAGCCAGGTTCTAGACAAGAGGCTCAAACCCCAGGACTACCTCTTACTACCTAAGCAGGGTACTTAACTTCTTGGTGCCTCATTTTGCTCATTTGTAAGGGCCACATTCTAGGGTTGCTATGAGGCTTCAGTGAGAGAACACAGGTAAAGTCCCCAAATCAACGCTGTCTGTTACTTACAGTTATGAGGCAGGGCCCTGAAGCTTCTCAAACCTTCTGGGCAAGCAAGGGCATCTTTCCAGAGCTTGGAGTTTGCTCCAGGGTGAGCAGTTTAAATGTGACTTTTATACGAAGTAGATATTTTGAGGAGTAGAATATAAAATTCACAGGACTATTTAAGATACAATCTTAAGACTCCAAAGAACTCTTCAGCTGGCTACACCCCATGAGTATATATTTATTCATCTTTCCCTGCTGTTGGGCCACAAGAAACCCTATTAGTCAGGTCTGAGCGGCCCTGAAGGGATGGATGCTCAGCTCGTAACTTAGGGCGTTCCGAAGAGCTCCTGCCCAGCAATCTCATGAGAATGTTCTTGTTCGCTCTTCTTCCCTCCTCCCCACTAATCTGAGGGTGCTCAAAACTGCCACAGGGTAGTCGACCACTGTACCTTTCCTGTCCAAGAATTCGATGCCTTGGGTTGCAAGACTGCTTGAAATGATGTGGTGTCCCTGGGGGAAAAAGTAGAAAAAAAGCAGGGGTCAGCAGCTCTGACCTACCCCTTGGAAGCTTTTGGACTGACTGACTCCCTTAGCTCTAGGGGCAGACAAAGTTTGTCTGTGCCTATCGTGGTGGCTCACACCTGTAATCCCAGTGCTTTGGGAGACTGAGGTGGGAGGATCACTTGGGACCAGGGGTTGGAGACCAACCTGGGCAACATAGCGAGATCTCATGTCTACAAAATTAAAAAAATTAGCTGGGCATGGTGGCAGGCACCTGTAGTCCTAGCTACTCAGGAAGTTGAGGCAAGAAGATTGTTTGAGACCAGGGGTCAAGGCTGCGGTGAACATAATTGTGCCACTGTACTGTAGCCTAGGTGACAGTGAGACCGTCTCTCAAAAAAAAAAAAAAAAAAAAAAGCCTGTTTGTTATTTTGATTTTTTCACTTCTGTACTCTTGTTCTTTTTGTTGTTGTTGTTGTTTGTTTGTTTGAGATGGAGTTTCGCTCTTGTCACCCAGGCTGGAGTGCAGTGGCACAACCTTGGCTCACTGCAACCTCTGCCTCCCGGGTTCAAGTGATTCTCCTGCCTCAGCCTCCTGAGTAGCTGGGATTACAGGCATGCGCCACCATGCCCAGCTAGTTTTGTATTTTTAGTAGGGATGGGGTTTCTCCATATTGGTCAGGCTGGTCTCCAACTCCCTACTTCAGGTGATCTGCTCACCGTGGCCTCCCAAAGTGCTGGGATTACAGGCGTGAGCCACTGCGCCCAGCTCTGTGCTCTTATTCTTGCCATGTCTTTTCTCTTTAGGCACACAGGATACTGTCACTTTCTTAGGTTTACTTCACTGTGTAAACTCAGAGATCAAGACATCCCTCAGCAACTGGCAGAAATGTGGAGTTTATAGAACAGTGAGATGGTGGTTTAAAATATATGAAAATAAAGAAGATTGCCAGCCACCTGGAACTGTGACCATCTGAAGGATCTCCCTGACAGGGCCCCAGAGGTAGGCATTAGGTCTGAGATGACTGGGCCTCCGTTCCCCTTTGTGTGGGTCATGCCCACCAACCCTGAAGTACAATCCTGGTTAAGGTTATGGCTCTTGCTATGGTTTGAATGAGTCCCTCAAAGTTTATGTGTTGGAAACTTAATCCCCAATGCAACAGTGTTGAGAGGTGAGAACTTTAAGGGGTGATTAGGTCACTTGGGCTCTGCCTTCATGAATGGATTAATTTGGTTATTGCAAGAGTTGGGTTAGTTATTGTGGGAGTGGATTCCTGATACAAGGATGAATCCAGCCTCTCTTCTCTGGAGCATACGTGCTCTCTTGCCTTTCTGCCTTCCATCTATGAGGATGCAGCAAGAAGGCCCTCTCCAGACACAGACCCCATGACCTGGGACTTCGCAGCCTCCAGAACCATAAGAGGTAAATCTCTGTTTTTTGTAAATGATCCAACTCAGGTGTTCTGTGATAGCAGCACAAAACAGACTAAGACAGCTCTGAAACCTCACTTCCTGGGTTTGCAACCTGACTCCACCACTTGGCTGCTGTGTGATCTTGGGCAGTTGCTGAACTTCTCAGAACCTCAGTCTCTGCATCTATACAATAGGGATAATCATATTGAGCTCCTTGGATTGTTAGGAGGATTCAAACAGAGTGTATGTTAGCACATATAAAAAGTGTCCTCTAGGTGGCCAGGCACGGTGGCTCACTCCTATAATCCCAGTACTTTGGGAGGCTGAGGCGGGCAGATCACGAGGTCAGGAGTTTGAGACCAACCTGGCCAACATGGTGAAACCCCATCTCTACTAAAAATGCAAAAATTAGCCAGGCGTGTTGGCACATGCCTGTAATCCCAGCTACTCGGGAAGCTGAGGCAGGAGAATCACTTGAAACCGGAAGGTGGGGGTCGCGGTGAGCAGAGATTGCACCACTGCACTCCAGTCTGGGTGAAAGAGCGAAACTCCATCTCAAAAAGAAAAAAGTGTCCTCGAAATGTTAGCTATTATTACCTCCTAAAGGAGGAAGAGAAAGGATCTTGCTGTGTCAGCCTCTATTATTAGTGTCCCTTCTAGAGGGCAGTAAGGGGATAGTGTTCCTGTCCCCTCCCAATGCCCAATTCCCAGGCACTAGGTGGCCCCTGAATCAGAGCAGAAGGAAAACATGAAGGAAGGAACAGGGGTCCTTACCCTTTCCAAAGGGTGGCCAGGCTTCTCTCAGACCCCTCCCTTCACCCCAGCAGCCACAGGGAGCAGGTGCAGGGGACACTGAGTTGGCAGCTTGCAAGAGAAACAAAGGTCTCTTGTTGCCTGCTTCTAGGTGCTGAGGCGGCTGAGCCACAAGGGAACCCGGGATCTGGCCTCCCTTTGGTTTCCAGGTTTCCTATAAAACCCTGGAGGGATGGCACAGAAAGAGCAGGGTTGATTCTTTCCCCCATCCCTCTCTTGCCCCCTTGGACTGTCCACCTGTCCGCCCACATAATCCCATAGTTCCTGCTCATGAGCACAATCTGACCCCCTCTGAGAAGGAACTAGGACAGTGGTGCTCAGACTAGTTGCCTATGAAACCCCCCAGGGAGGTTTGAAAAACCCCATTGTTCAGCCCTGACTCCTGAGATTCTGATCTGATTGTTCTGGAGTGGGGGGCGGGCATTGGTGAGTCTAATCCCTACCCTCCCACCCTAACCAGGTGATTCTGCTGCGCAGCCAGGCTGGAAAGCCTGACAGAGGAGCTGCGGAAGAGGGTGGAGTTGAGACGTGGAGCGGTGGGGGCCGGTGGGGGCGGGTGGGGGCGGGTAGAGCTGCAAGGGAGGTGATGGGGAATGTCCAAGTTCAGTTTTGCTGCCCTGAACTCCCTATCCTCAGGGAGGCCTGGTGCGACTTCAGAGCATCCCTAGTGCTCAGCAACTTCTCCCAGACACGCTCCCACCGATCCTTCCAGCCCCTCCCTCTCAGGAATCCAAGTGCCTGGGGCACGTGGGAGGGCGTAGGAAGGGGGCCAGCCTGCACATGCCCTTCTGGGAGGTTTAACCAGACTGAGGAGATACGCGGACCATGTGCTGCGTTTTTCAGAACACTAATTCTACTCACAATTTAGATCATATACTTTTTTTTTTTTGACGGAGTCTGTCTCTGTCACTAGGCTGGAGTAGTACAGTGGTACACTTCGGCCCACTGCAACCTCCACCTCCTGGGTTCAAGCGATTCTCCTGCCTCAGCCTCCCAAGTAGCTGGGACTACAGGTGCATGCCACCACACCCAGCTAAGTTTTGTATTTTTAGTAGAGACGAATTTCACCATGTTGGCCAGGATGGTCTTGATCTCTTCACCTTGTGATCCGCCCGCCTCAGCCTCCCGGAGTATTGGGATTACAGGCATGAGTCACTGCACCTGGCCTTTTTTTTTTTTTTTTTTTAAAGACAGGATCTCACTTTGTCACTCAGACTGGAGTGCAGCAGCAAGATCTTGGCTCACTGCAGCCTCAACCTCCTGGGCTAATCCTCCCATCTCAGCCCCCCAAGTAGCTGAGGCCACAGGCATAAGTCACCATGCCTGGCTATTTTTTTGTTGTTGTTGGTATTTTTAGTAGAAACAGGGTTTTGCCATGTTGCTCAGGCTGGTCTCAAACTCCTGGGCTCAAGCAATCTGTCTGCCTTGGCCTCCCAAAGTGCTAGGATTACAGGCATGAGCCACCGTACCCGGCCTTCATATTCTTAATACTTAGCCCTAGAATGTTCTCCTTTTAAAAACAGCGTTGACAATGGATAGTAACTGGCAGCCTTATGTTGATTCTCACTGTCTCTTCTATTAAACAACAACAACAACATTTAATAGAAATCCCCATGTGTGGGACCCACTGAGCCAGATTCTGCCATGAGGAAATTCCCAGACTGGGCTCCATTCTAATCTGCACTAAAGAGCCCCCTCCTTGGGCTCTGTAGAACCTGTCCCAGCTGCCCATCTTCCTGGACTGTCCCCTGTAGCCAGGATGTCCATTTGCAGTCCCTAGCTGGGGAAGCTCATGTGGCCTGCTGGCTCTGCCCAGAATGCCATCCACCTCCCACTCTCTCCCAGACTAAATATCCACCTCTCACAGCAAGGCTGAGTCCTGACCTGCCTCGCACTGGGGTTTAAGCTACAGTGCAAATATAGTGAAACAGCAGGAAAGGGCCAGGTGCTTGAGTCATACTACATTTTGAAAAGAGGAAAGATCTTTTTTTAAAAACAAAACAAAAAAACATTGTTGCATTATAATAGAAGTATAGTAAACTTCATACTTAAAGTTGTATTAGATACCTTGAAATAATTTTGTGTTTAAAAAAAAAATGTATTACTCAGGAGGCTGAGGTGGGAGAATCATTTTAGCTCAGGAGGTGGAGGTTACAGTGAGCCAAGACAGACCCACTGAACTCCAGCCTGGGTGACAGATTGAGACTGTCCCCAAAAGATTATTTTTATAAGAAAAGGAATTCATTTCTTACAGTTATGGAGGCTGAGAAGTCCAAGGTCGAGGAACCACGTTTGGTGAAGACCTTTTTTTTTTTTTTTCTGCTCCTTGTGGAGCAGGGCTACCCCATAGGCAGTGGTCCAGAGCAGCCCAAGGGCCTTGGTGTTGGTGGGGCAGGATGTCACATGCAGAGTGGGGCTGAGCTGCTAGATGAGGTCTCTTCCTTTTTATAAAATTATTTTTAATTGGCACATACTTGTGCATATGTACAGGGTACAGTGTGATTTTTTTTTTTTTTTTTGGAGACAGAGTCTTGCTCTGTCGCCCAGGCAGGAGTGCAGTGGCCCCATCTCGGCTCGCTGCAAGCTCCGCCTCCCGGGTTCACGCCATTCTCCTGCCCCAGCCTCAACAGTAGCTGGGATTACAGGCGCCCACCACCACGCCTTTTAATTTTTTGTGTTTTTTAGTAGAGATGGGATTTCACCGTGTTAGCCAGGATGGTCTCCATCTCCTGACCTCGTGATCCGCCCGCCTCGGCCTCCCAAAGTGCTGAGATTACAGGCGTGAGCTACCGCGCCCTGCCACAGTGTGGTATTTCAATACGTGTATGCGATGTGTAATAAGCAAACCAGCTAATTAGCGTTTCCATCACCTTGAACTTATTATTATTATTATTTTTTGAGACAGGACCTCCCTGTATTGCCCAGGTTGGAGTGCAGTGGTGCGATCACAGCTCACTGCAGCCTCGACCTCCTGGGCTCAAGGGATCCTCTCGGTCAGTTCCCCAAATAGATGGAAGCACAGGCATGCATCACCATGCCCAGATAATTTTTGTATTTTTGGTAGAGATGGGGTTTCGCCATGTTGGTCAGGCTCATATCAAACATGTATATGCATTGAGATACTTTGTGTTTTAAACATCTTTACATACAAGTGACAAGGATTCCTTTTCTTTTGAGACAGGGTCTCGCTCTGTCGCCCAGGCTGGAAGGCAGTAATGCAATCACAGCTCACAGCCTCGAATTCCTGGCCTCAAGCAATCCTCCCACCTCGGCCTCCCAGAGTGCTGGGACTACAGGCGTAAGTCGCCATGGGGTGCCAAGGATCCTCTTTCTTAATGCCTTCAGTCCTTGTCAGGTTTCGTGCCCTCATTACGCAATTCTGACTACAAGGAGATGTAGGAACTTCAGGTGGCGCCGCTAGAACACCCTTTGTTCTAAGAGCGCTGGACTCCTAATCACTGGCAAGCTGTTTCACATTCTTCTGCGACTTTTGGTGTGTCCTTTGACTGCATCTGTGGAGACCAGATACTTACTTTGTTTTCATCCCGTTAGGCCCCCAGCAAGGTTGGTGGGGAGTGCACAGATGGAAAAGCGCTAGAAAGGGAAAGGCTGGGGCTGCAGGCCTCTCCCTGAGGCTGCTGGCCCCTTCCCTCCTCCCAAACCCAGACTTCCCACGGCTTGGTCCGCTTTTTTTAGGCTAAGCGAAATCGTTTTGCGGCTTCTTCAGACACTGGAACCACCACCTGCTAGAGGCCGGCTCCCAGGTTCTCCTCGTGGGGCACCCAGGAGAGGAAAGTGCCCAGGGAGGAGGAGGGAGTGCAGCGCAGCAGGCGCCGCGGGGAGAGCGCGGATGGAGCCAGAAGTCGCCCCTTGTTCCCCCCGGCGCCCGCCTCTTAGATACCTAGAGTAGAGGCCGGGGAGAAGGGAGCGGGCGCGAGGCGGGCAGAGACTGCAGCGGGCGGGAAAGGCGACTGGCCGCGGCCGGGCCGAGGGTCCCCACGAAGTTGGAAACCGGAGACTTGGGTCCCTGCCCAAAAAGCAGTATCTGACGTTACCGAGGGAGAGTTCCCGACAAAAAAGGAAGTTTTTATCTGCGTCGGGGTAGATTTCTACAATAGAAAGTGTACTCATGCGGGGGAGGACTTCACCAACAAGGGTGCAGGGGCGAGGTCTTCCTTGGACCCAGGCAAAGGCCGCGGGGTCCGGGCAGCACGAGGTTAAGGCTGGGAGGGGGTTCTGGCGATAAAGGGCCGCGGCCCGAGTTCTTGCTGAGAGCTGCCCCAGAAGGGTCGACGCGGAGGTTGGGCTGAGGACTGCGGGCCGCCGGGGAGCCCTGGGCTGGGCGCCCTCCCCGCGCCCTGGTCGCCCCCACGCCCTCCCGCTCTGCGCGCGGCAGCCCCTACCTGGCTCTGGCCGCGGGCCCCGGGTACCGCTGCACCGCCGAGAAGTACAGAGCAAAGAGAAGCCCCGAGCAGGCAGCCGTGAGCAGCAGCAGCAGCCAGAAGAACGGCCCGCGCGGGAGCCCCATATAGCCCCGGCCCGCGAGCGCCCCGGCCGCCGACGTCCCGGGCAGAAGGGAGAGGCCCGGGTGGGCCGGGTGGCACTTGCGGAGGCGGCCGTCCTGTCCTGCCCCGCCCTGCCCGCCTGGTGCCTGCGGCACCTCCCCGCCCGGCAGCTCCCTCTCAGCCCCAGGTGAGCGGCCAGACGCTCCTGCACCCTCGGGGGCTGGGCGGCGAGTCTCCTGGGGCGAGAGTGTCGCCCCGGCACCCGGAACGTGCAATCCTCTGGCCCTGCCCCCTGCCCGGGGACTTCGGCAGCGGCCACTCCTGCAACTGCGCTCTCTCCAGCGCCCAGCCCCGGGAGGCCGCCAGTCTCGGCTTGGTCAGGGCGCTTTCCTCGCGCGGTCCGGGTTTGGCTAGGTGCGGGTAGACGCCACCACCTGCCGCGCTGGCTGCGCTCTGCTCTCTCCGGGCCAGGCACTCGACTTCCAGACTCCGTGTTGGGTGGGCGGCGGCCGGGAGATCTGCCCGGCGCACTCCAAAGGACCCTCAGACCTGTCAGTCTGCGGACACCAGGACAGCTGGGAGGGGGCGGGCAGGATGAAGGAGCAAACCCCAAGAGCTCAGTCTCTGGGCTGGCGGTAGAGAGGGCAAAAGGGGGTGAGGTGGGGAGCCTGCCCTGATGTGTTGCGTGGGGAAACTGAGGCTGTCAGCGCTTATTTGGTGACCATCCAGGGTGGCCAGTCCCCTCAATCGCATTGAGTTCCTTTCACAGAACGAGGCCAGTCAGAGAGACCACCTGAAAGGTTCAGCACAGCAGGTTCCCAAACTTGTTGGTACCAGGGACTGGTTTCCTGGAAGACAGTTTTTCCACGGACAGGGGTGGGGGTGAGGGGGTTGGGGATGAAACTGTTCCGCCTCAGATCATCAGACATGAGTTAAGATTCTCTTATAAGGAGCCCGCAACCTAGATTCCTGGCATGCGCAGTTCACAAAAGGGTTCGCGCTCCTTTGAGACTAATGCTGCAGCTGATCTGAAGGAGGCGGAGCTCAGGCGGTAATACTCCTTCGCCCGCCACTCACCTCCTGCTGCGAGGCAGGGTTCCTAACAGGTCGCGGACCAGGCTTGGGATTGGGGACCCCTGGTCTAGCAGGCTCCAGCATCAGAAAGGGCTGGGAAGCTCAGCCCCAGGGCTAAGTGGAGCACTCCCAGGCAGTGAGTGGTGGGTGAGATTGGTGTGCTCCAGTGGGCACTATTCAGAAAGCTGTGACATGCCCCAGACCCCTAACTGTCAGGAGGCTGCAAGGATGAGAAGGACCTACGCTACCGTGTCATGTGCTTTCTGCTCTAATCTGTTCTTCATGTATCCGAGGAAGTCTGGGTGCAGCAACAGGTACCTGTCCGATTGCAAGGCTTCCCGAAAACCTCCCAGGGCCTGGGCCTGTGGTCAGGAATGGCCATTCAGTCCATCCAGGCTCAGTTCTCCTACCAAGTCAGGGTCACTGGAGGTCACTCAGATTGGGCCGCCAGTTCTTTCCTTCACCCCAAGACTGCTCAGCAGAGCCAGGCTTACCTTGCTACCCTGCAGATGGGCACTACTTGGAATTGATGGTGTCAAGACTTTCATTTCAATCTTTATGGATTTGCTTGTCAAAATTCCTGTAGATGTTACTTATCCCCTGATCATTGGCTTCTCACATTTCCTCAGACCCTCTCTCTGTGCCCATAAATCCCCCTCCTAGTCCTTGTTCTCAGTAAGTGCCTTACCTTCTACTTCATGGAGAAAAGGAGAATCATTCATTAGTAATTTATTTAACTTTCCACCTACAAACTTGGCCCCCACCACAGCCCAGCCTCTCCCTGCCAGGACTCCAGTCTTTTTTTTTTTTTTTTTTTTCTTGAGACGGAGTCTCACTCTGTCACCCAGGCTGGAGTGCAGTGGCGTGATCTCCGGCTCACTGCAACCTCCACTCACTGGGTTCAAGTGATTCTCCTGTCTCAGCCTCCCCAGTAGCTGGGATTACAGCAGGAGTGCACCACCACACCTGGCTAATTTTTTTGTATTTTTAGTTGGGAGGGGGGTTTCACCATGTTGGCCAGGCTGGTCTCAAACTCCTGACCTCAGGTGATCTGCCCACCTAGGCCTCCCAAATGGCTGGAATTACATGCACTAGCCACTGCAGCAGGCCTCAGGACTCCAGTCTTAAGGGTTGGGGAGAGAGTCCTCTCCTCCTGTGTGGGAGTTAACCCCCCCATCTGTGTTAATGATCCGGGTCCACCTCCAGTGTCTTAAATGGCAGTACTCCCCTCACACCAAAGTCTCCTATCCACACACCTGGAGTTCTCTTTCCTCCCATCTTCAGCCTCACAGGACCTCCAGGGTCTCCATCCTTCCATTTTCTCCCAGTGGGCCAATCCTCTCTCAGCAGCTTTCTTTCCTATCTAGGCAGGACTCCCTGGGTTATAATCTGAGCTACTCCCGCATCAGTAACCCAGATTCTTGTGTTCCTGGCTTTCTGCCCAGCAAAACTCTGACCTGGATTCACTCTTGCCTCTGCCTCTCCTGTGCTGCCTGCCCCTGGCCTGGCTGAGTGCCGTGGGGGTTGTGGGCAGGGGGTAGCTCATTCCAGAGTGAATTGGGGACACAAGTTTGGCCTCAGCTGGCTCTCAACATCAGCCATTTCCTTATCCTTGCTCAGCTCCAGCTTCTCTCCTGCTCAACAATGATTCTAGAACTTACTTCTTTCCTCAAGCCTCCTCTTTTCCCAGCCATACCTGTGAGAAAATGGAGCCCATCAGGAGTGACCTTCAACTTCCCATGCCCTTAAGTTCAGTCATCTTTTGTTAAGAACTGTGCAGATTTTGCTCTACTTACAAGCTAACCAATGAGCCTGCCATAGTTCTGTGGATGCTGGTAGAAGACACAAGACTACTGGATCAGAGACGAAGGACTTTATTATTCATGGTGCAGCAAGCAACATAGACATCATGTTTGTGTCACTTCTCTTTACTCCTCAAGCCCCATGATGGTCAGACAGAGAGGCCCAGGTGGGTGTTGCACACACAACCTACCTACCATGCCATTGCAGGACAGCTGAGAATCCCTGAGATAAGGGAACCACAATCTTTTATAATGGGCTGCAAGCAAACCTGCCCTTGTCTAAGAGGGAGACATTATCTTTATTATGTTGGACAGTGAGGAAATGGGCCCTCTGCTCCAGAGGGAGGCACTATCTTTATCTTCCAAGGCAGTTTGCTATACCAACGTTCTTTTTTTTTTTTTTTTTTTTTTGACAGAGTCTCGCTCTGTCACCCAGGTTAGGGTGCAATGGCGCAATCTCGGCTCACTGCAAGCTCCGCCTCCTGGGTTCACGCCGTTCTCCTGCCTCAGCCTCCTGAGTAGCTGGGACTACAGGCACCCACCACCACACCCGGCTAGTATTTTGTATTTTTAGTAGAGACGGGTTTCACCATGTTAGCCAGGATGGTCTTGATCTCCTGACCTCGTGATCTGCCCGTCTCGGCCTCCCAAAGTGCTGGGATTACAGGAATGAGCCACCACACCCGGCCTATACCAACATTCTTGAAAAGAGCCCGGAACAAAAGGGCAGTTAGTCCTCTGCTCACAGCATGATCATGCCCATGCACCCTCACCTTATTGCTCCAGAATCTCCTCCTCCCAGGGACAGCCAGCCTCTTCACTGTGACCTCCCACTCTTCAGCTCTTTTTTTTTTTTTTTTGAGACAGAGTCTCGCTCTGTCGCCCAGGCTGGAGTGCAGTGGCGCAATCTCGGCTCACTGCAAGCTCCGCCTCCCGGGTTCACGCCATTCTCCTGCCTCAGCCTCCTGAGTAGCTGGGACTACAGGCGCCCGCCACCGCGCCCGGCTAATTTTTTTTGTATTTTTAGTAGAAACGGGGTTTCACCGTGGTCTCAATCTCCTGACCTTGTGATCCGCCCGCCTCGGCCTCCCAAAGTGCTGGGATTACAGGCGTGAGCCACCGCGCCCGGCTACTCTTCATCTCTTGCTTCAGCAGCCCTGCCTGCGCCCTCTGCAAGGTCCTTATCACAGCCTTCGAATATGCCCCAAATAGCTCATCCTAAAAAGCAAAGCGAAGCAAAACAAACAAAAAATGCCATTGAGCTGGCCCCCTTCGTAGTTATTCTCTTTTTCTTTCGTTCAAGTTCTTGGTAGAGAGTCTATTCTGTCTCCACTTCTTTTTGCATCTGACTTCCTTACCTACCATGCCATTGAAATTGTACCCACTGAAGTCACTAGCAATCATCCTTCCAAAGGGAGTCCACATTTTCCAGTTCTAATTCTGCTGCATCTGTCTCTCTGAATTTGACACTTAGCTCCCAGTAACTCCAGCTTGCAACTCTTTGCTCTCATGGTTTCAACAACCAGCTTTCTGTTTGTGACTCCTGAATTGGTCTCCATCTGAGGCCCAGATCTCTATCAGCTGCACACCTGTTCAGCTATGTATACAGGCCATCCCTGGAGCCCTGCATTACTTTTTTCTTTCTTTCTTGTTATTTTTTTTTAAGTCAGAGTCTCACTCTTGTTGTCCAGGCTGTAGTGCAGTGGTGCAATCATGGATCCTGCAGTCTTTTTTTTTTTTTTTTTGAGATGAGTGTCACTCTGTTGCCCAAGCTGGAGTGTAGTGGCATGACCTCGGCTCACTGCAACCTCCACCTCCCGGGTTCAAGCGATTCTCTGCCTCTGCCGCCCAAGTAGCTGGGATCACAGGTGTGTGCCATCACGCCCAGCTAATTTTTTGTATTTTTAGTAGAGATGGGATTTCACCATGTTAGCCAGGATGGTCTCGATCTCCTGACCTTGTGATTTGCCTACCTCGGCCTCGCAAAGTGCTGGGATTACAGGCTTGAGCCACCATGCCCGGCTCCTGCAGTCTTAAACTCCTGCGCTCAAGTGATCCTCCTGCCTTAGCCTCCCGAGGAACCAGGGGTATAGGCATGTGCCACTCTACCCGTCTAATTTATTTTTATTTTCGCACAGACAGGGTCTTGCATACACAGAGGGCCAACTTTTCATGGGTTTTTCAGTGCTAACTATGGGACTTGAGTATGTGCGGATTTGGTTTGGTTATACAGGCAGTCCTGGAACCAATCCCCCATGTATAATAAGGGATGACTGTATGTAAATATAATTATATAATATATAATTATAAAATTATACTGTTTTTTATAATTACAGAATTTCCTTTACCAGAGGTGTTTTTTTTTTTTTGTCTCATGTGTATTTGAATTACCATCTTCTTTCAGCCTGAAGATTCCTTTAATATTTCTTGTAATGTGTGTCTGCTAGCAATAAATCCTCTTTTTGTTTACTTAGAAGTGTCTAGGCACATGCCACCACACCTGGTTAATTTTTGTATTTTTGGTAGAGACAGGGTTTTGCCATGTTGACCAGGTTGGAGTCCACTTTCCCTGGAAAGTGGGGCTGCAGCGTTCTCATGCTGGAAGTCCATCTTTTGCATTTTTTTTTTTTTTTTGAGACAGTCTCACTCTGTTGCCCAGGCTAGAGTGAAGTGGCACACTCTTGGCTCACT